ATCACCAAATGCAAAGACATGCAGATTTACCGCTATGTTTTTCTTCTAAGAGTTGCATGGTTTTAGTTCTTATATTTAGCTCTTTGATCCATTTTTCATTTTTGGTATGTAGTATGAGGTAGGAGTTCAACATCATTCGTTTTCATGTGGATATTCAGTTGTCCTGGCACCATTTGTTGGAGATAGTATTCTTTCCTCATCAAATGCTTTTGGTACCCTTGTCAAAAATCATTTAACCATAGATACGTATTTCTGGACTCTCGATTCTGTTGTATTGATTGCTCTAAATTTCCCTCTGAGCACTGCTTTTGTTGCAGCCCATAAGTTTTGATATATTGTGCATATTATCATTGCTATATTTTATAAATTGATATATTATCAATCATCACACCCTCTAGAGTTACACGCATTTTTTTGGTTCTATAGTGTTTTATTTCTGTCCTTAAAACACACATACAAAGTTACAATATTGAAATTATTATTTTATACAGAGAATGTTTATTTATATTTTTATAGAATTATTAATTTGCTTGCCATTTTTTCAAGCATCTCAGGACTTCTTTCTGTTATAATATTTGTTTTTTTGAAATATATATATTTTTTGCTAAAATAATGTGCTTTATTCAGTTATCTAACGTGTAAGAAATACAGAGGTAATTCCTGTACCAAATGTTTTATATTTGGTATATATTTTTTCTCTTCTCTTCTATAATCTGCTTATATGGCATGACTTAACTGTTCTTTTTTTATTATTTTTTTTTTTTTTAATTTTTTTTTTGAGACAGAGTCTTACTCTTATTGCCCAGGCTGGAGTGCAGTGGTGTAATCTCAGCTCATTACAACCTGTGTCTCCTGGGTTCAAGTGATTCTCTTGACCCAGCCTCCCAAGTCACTGGAATTATAGGCGTGCGCCACCACGCCTGGCTAGTTTCTGTATTTTTAGTAGAGATGGGGTTTCACCATGTTGGCTAGGCTGGTCTCGAACTCCTGACCTCAGGTGATCCACCCTCCTCGGCCTCCCAAAGTGCAGGGAGCCTCCCAAAGTGCAGGGAGCCTCCCAAAGTGCGGGGATTATAGGTGTGAGCCATTGCACCCAGCCAACAACTGTAAAAAAAAAAATTGTTTTAATTGTAGTAGTTGTAGATATTTATGGGGTACATGAAATGTTTTGATGCTGACATGCAATGTATAATAATCATATCATGTAAAATGGGGTATCCATCCCCTCAAGCATTTATCCATCCCCTCAAGCATTTATCCTTTGTGTTACAAAGAATCCAATTATACTATTTTAGTTATTTTTAAATATAATTAAATTATTGACTGTAGTTACCCTGTTGTGCTATCAAATATGAAGTGTGTTGTTTAGAAATTTCTTTCATATATGAGACATTGATTGTAAACTGTCCGTTTTTTGTTTTTTATTTATTATTATGATTCTTTTTGAGACAGAGTCTTGCCCTGTTGCCCAGGCTAGAGTGCCATGGCATTATCTTGGCTCACTGCAACCTCCACTACCTGGATTTAAGCAATTTTCGTACCTTAGTC